CACTGCCTGGGGAATGTGTGAAATGGTTTAAACGCAGCCACTCGCAGGCTGCTTGTTCCACCCCTTCACACACAGGCCCAGAAGGAGCCAGGGCTGCCCTGTCCTTTCCAAAGCGGCTCCATGAGGCAGCTCAGGCCGCCTCCGTGCTCAGCGTGCGCTAGCAGGCCGCCGCGCTAGCGCGAGGGCCGCGGCGGCACCCGCTCCCCGCGAGCTGCCTCTCCTGCTCGCGCGCAGCAGACTCCGTCACCGCGGCCGCTCCCAAAGGCCGGCAGCGGCTTGGTGCTGAGCCCGGACACGGCGGGAGCTCTGAGGGCTGCTGGTGGTGCTGCCGCCGAGGGCAGGCTGGCTGGGCGAAAGCGTGCCGCCGCGGCCTGAAACCGAGCGCAGTCTTAGCAACCGAAAAGCTTCTTTCACTTAGCGTGTGTAGTGCTGAAAGAAGAAGATTAAGATTCTTTGTTCCTCAAAGAATAAACTTGTTCTGAATGAAAAAGCAGCTCTTCACTCAAGGTTGATGGGCATTTAGTAACTTACACCTGCTTTCATTTGGGAGATTAATTGACTTTCTACCCAAATTATTGTCCATTGCTATTTAATGGGAAAGTATAACATCAGTTTGAAACTAAACATCCATTTACTAAGAAATCAAGGAAGATTTTCCAAATTAAAATACCTTTTTTTTTTTTCACTTGGAAAGCTACAGTCAGTCTAAAAAAAAAATCTACCTTGCATCAATGTCCTTCCATGCTGTCTAGTTCCTCAATATCCAGTGTACTGAGGATGAGTCATTCTGGAAGTAAGTCTTATTTATGAAATCTAACCCCCAGTGCTTTTGTTGCTACAGTAGAGTCTGTTATTTACAAGCTCATTTGTAAATTAAATAAAATCAAGAACTGAAATTCTTTTATAACAGTGTTTCTAGTTAAATGCTGCCTCTCACCCTCTCAAATCCAGCTGTGTTGTGTGTTCGTGTGGAGGAGGGATGGAACATTAAATAGTTAGTTATTTATGGATGTTAATAACATACTTAATGTTTTCATAAAGAGGTTGTGGATCATATGATGCCATCTGTGTTACTGTTGATTGCAGTTAATTATACAGGCATGGATTCCATGGGAAAATGGAAGCATTAGTTTGTTTGTGTTCAAGATAATGGAATGATACAATATTAAACAGAATGAATTAAGTCTGAAATGCATTTGTCTCTAATAATTTTGCATAAATCAGCAGAATTACTCTGAGTTGCACCAGTTTAAATCAGAACTTGGGTGAAGGCATTGTTGTAATATTGTTGTAATAACACCACTGTAGTTTTGTTCCTTGAGTACTGCTGACTATCCAAGGGAAAAAGAAAAATTAGCTTTCTACATAATAGCCACTGTTTCTAATTTGCCTAATTTCTTCACTACTTTTAGCAATTTACACATAAGAGGTGTATAAGTGAGAGTGGCATATTTACATAACATTATGATTTAGAAAAATCACATTCTACATGATGAGGTGTGGTAGTAATTGTGTCTTTCAGTGCTTAAATACTATCAATCTCTTCTGTAATCACTATAAGGTATTAACTTTGTAGTACATACACACATTTGAGACAAAGCTGTTTTATCTTTAAAAAGCATGTTTTTATGTAAAAATTCAGAGAGAAAAATCAGTAGATGACTTTTATGTCATACAGCTATATATGTCTTATGTATGTCATACAGCTTTTATATGTCAAACAGCTATCCACACCTACACACAATAACTCTGCACATAGAAATACATATAAGCTGCATATGTGTAGCTTTCAGAATGATACTTTTGAATTTTTATACACGGTCCAGTCCTCAGTGAGTTAAATGAACTCCAGCTGAGGGATTTATCTTTGAGGAAAAATTCAGGTCAGTCAGGATTTGACATGGGTCTGTTAAAGCTGCTGTTGGAATTGATCTAATCCTAAGCAAAACTTTGGCTAGACTTCCATCTGTCCAAACTGATTGCTAGTTGTTTTTGTAAGGAAAATCAGAATAGCATTTCATAAAATACGTTTCAGAACTTGTTTCACACTTGGAAAAATTCATTGTTTTATCCCTTGTGGAAAATTAGACTGTGTGTGTGATAGCCAGTTGTTGACACATGATCAAATTTCCTATAGGATATGGAAATGCAGATTCAACTCTCCAGTTTACATGATAAGAAGCAGTAATATTAACTGAACTCTTCCATGTTGTAAGTTATGAAAATAAGTTATTCTGAATGGAGCTTTCCAATGATTGTTGATGCAGAGGGACAAATTTAGGACCTCAATTTAGAGGTTAGTGCCTTCAACTTCTCTTTTACATTCAAGTGGATCTCTGATATTCTAATTCATGAAGGCTTTAGGTAGCATATTGCAGTGTGTGATAGTATTTTCACAGTTAATATTTAATTCTTTACAGAGAGTGAAAGTCTTCAAGACAAGCCATTGTATTTCCCAGTAAGTAGGGCATTTGTTTGAGAGTAGGGACTTGAATGAGACTTGCTCCTTGCTGAATGACATCTTATGTGACTGAGCATTACTTGCTCTCTGATGTCTTCCGCTAGCTCTCATTTGATGTTTGGTTCCAAACCTGAAACTTTCTCAGCAGAAGCATAGTCAAAAAAATGCACTCCTTTAAAGTTTGATTTGACTTACCTGCATTTTCCTTTTAATCATTATATAAAGAACATAAAAACAGAATACATCTAGCAAATGCGCAGTGTAACTGTGTACATGACAATATGTGTATCTGCAATCATTTCTTGATCCCATAAGTTCCAGGCTGGCTACCTGCCTAATGGTTATTTCTATGAGATTAACATCAGATTTTCTTCTCCTGTTGCAGCCTATGAAATATAATGCTACTTGCAACTAATATTTCTACAGGAAAAAAAATGTCATTTCCATCTGGAAAACCATTTATGTCGAATTTATCAAAAAGGTTGGAGCTTTAAGTGTTTATGAAAATAAGGAAAAATTCAAATTAACATTTGTGAAACATTCTGAATTTGTACAGTCCCAGAAATGAGAGCCTAGATTCCTGAACTTTGGGGCTGGAGGAATATTAACATCAACATTCAGCTAGCATATGGAATGCTCTGTACCAGGAAGGCCAAGTAGAACTAAAGATTTCCATGGGCACAGCAAAGTAGGATTGCACAGGATAATTAGGGCTCTGTGGGCACTACAAAATAATCTAAAGTTTCTTGCCAGGATGGGTAGATGCTATTAGAATCGAGGATTCAAGAAGAAGGGAATAGGTACCACTTCCTTTCAAAACGGACAGCTGTTCAGTGCTTTGCTGGCTTCCTTGATCCTAATGGAACTCCAGAAAGTCCCGCCAATGCCAGGATAACTGCTCGTGGCTGCCCCTCAAAGCGTGGGGCCTCCCTGCGTGCCCTGGGCAGTGCGGGGGAGCAGGGGGAGCCCCGCGGTGCCTCTCGGGGCTGCCCGTGCTGAGGGCAGCCGAGCCTAGGCGGGTATTGGGACCGGCCTGGTCCGGGGACACAAGCTGGGCTGGGTTTGCCTTCGGTCCAGGCACCTCTGGTGTCTTGGGCCGTGAGCAGCGAGGGTTTGTCTGTGTGCGGGCTGCATCCTTTTATGGCAGAGTTCACAATCCAAGGAATATCTTGCAGCTTTAGCCATGGCAGCTTCGTGAGATCAAAATCTTTATCATACATTATAAATTGTCAATATTTGTAAGTATAGTGTTTGCTTAAGGTATCTGTTTTGCTTAAAGTGTTGGTATTCTAGGCAGAGATTTAAGTGCAGTGAACCACTGATTTCAGAACTTGCAGTCTAGAAAACACATTTTCCAATTAGGCCTGGCTTTGGAATTGCGAGTGAGGAGGCAGAAAGAACGATGAGGCCTACTAAAGACAGCTGATGATGCATTATTAATGCTGTTTTCAATATCAAACATGCCAGGAATCATGTGCATAATGTATTCTCCCAGTCTCAAAAATATGAAGACTTTATTATTGTACTTGGACTGAAGGTTTGATTATTCTAATAGGATGATGTGTGAGGCTTGTGGATGCCCTTCCTACATAACACACGGCAAAAAGGGTGGTAAAAATGACAGTGGTTAGCCGCCCGTTTCACCTGGCACGGCCTCCGTGCCCGTCGAGGACCCGCTCCGTCGAGGACCCTTGGTTCCCTGGATTGCTTGGATCACATTTTTGTGCGTTTAGGGGAGCCCCTGAAGCTAAAGGACAAAACCCAGGGCATTATGCATTATGCAGTCTTTGCTCCTGCAGGTATGCAGCATAATCATATTATAACTTGGAATCTGACTCAGTTTACTTTAGATGTGAATATTTTCACGTTCGTTGTTAACTGCATCCCCGGGCTCTGCTGGAGGCAGCTTCATCCTGGCCCTGTTAGAGTGAACGGCCTCCAGCCAGAGCCGACTGCTGAGCTGGCTGCTGAAATCTGCAGGGATCTGAAGCCAGCATGATAGAACAGGAATGATTTACGAGCCTTCTGTAAGAAATCAAGGTTTCAAAATACTGGGAGGTTGACTGCTAAGTTTGGTTTTCTTTTTTTTCTTTCCATACTTGCCCCTGCTGCTCAGCCTTCCCCTGAAAACATGATTTTCCCACCTTTTGCCACAGTGTGGGGCAAATGCCTAGAAACAAAACGGAGCCATTGTATTTTAACACCAGCAAAGTTTCAGCAGCTCTCTGTGTAACCCACACTTGTGGAGGTGTAAGATCTTCTAATAGTTAATGTATGCAAAGAAAAAAAATGCAAAGACTTTTATTAAATGCTAGTGGCATTGGACAGGAGAATGATGAATGTACCGAAGCATCCATGGGAGAGCAGTGGGAGATCCGTGGGAGAGCAGTGCGGTACTGCTCCCGTGGGAGCTGTCTGGAGTGCACCACCTCAATTCTGCTAAAGCTTGAAACCAGTCTCGTGTGGGACCTTGTGGAAACCAATCTTGTGTGCTCGCCTGGGCACTTTCACAGCACTTACGTGATTTCCCTCTTTCTAGGCAGGTAAGAAAATGTAGTGGGCCAGAAGGCGGGACGAGAAGCCCCCGTGCGCCGCTTCACGATGTCCAAGAAGGGCGCCAGCGCCCGAGCGAAGGGAGAGAAGCCCGATGCCTTAGCTGCCCTGCAAGCCGCCAACGAAGAGCTCCGTGCGAAGCTCACGGACATTCAGATAGAGCTCCAGCAGGAAAAGAGTAAGGTGTGCGTCCTTTTCCTCTTCCTCCATTAGCTAAAGTTAAGATCCTCTGTTGTTGCTGGTTTCTAACCACTAGTCACCTTCCCCAAATGGTGGCCGAGTCGGAACAACTTCTGATACTTCAGTTTTAGTCGAGTAGACAGGCAGAACTGCTGGCAAAGTAGCCATGGACGGGGTGAATTTGCTAGTGTATGCACAGCATATATATATATAGTGTATGCCCAGTGTATGCACAGCTTGCTGTTGTGTTGCTCTAAGTATGTTTGTGAGCACTGTTTAAAACAGCTGCAAGTTTAGCACCAATAAACTGATTAGAAATGGTAAACATTTTGTACAATGCTTTGCTGACTTGCGAAGGAATTTGAAAATAAATTTTCAGAGGGCATATACCCTAGTAACTGAAGATAACATTATATATGGAGCAAAACATAACTCCTTTATTTCTTCTCTTAAATTTTTTCTTATATTTAAAAATGGATATGGGGCAAAGGATTCCTCATGTGTTACAGTTCCGTTGCTTCGGAGGTACAGCTTTGGATGGGAAAACTAGATAGTTGGAATTGGGAAAGTTCTTTGGCAGGCAGTGACTCAGCTGTGCACAGAATACTTGTTCTTGTGAGTCAGGAAGAAATTAACTTGAGAATCGACATACCTAAATGCCAGAAAAAGATCTGTAAAAACAAACATCTGTCCAAAACAGATGGCGTAATCAGAGCAGTAGGCTGAAAACTGCCCATATCTTCTATTTCTCTCACTAGGACTTGTTCCACTCTACCTCTTTTTTTTTCACTGAAACATTTGTAGCCTGTAAATCTCATTTTCAAAGAAACTTCGAAAGGTATATATTCTTTATTTATTTTCTTTAAATAGGACCGTGTTTTAGAAGCACATTGTGCTGCGAACTTGTCAGGATCTTTTTATTATTTTTGTAAACTACTGCTTAGAGAATTGTCTGCAGTGTCAGATTTTTTTTCTTTCCATTCGCAGTGTTTGGGTCTGTAATCTTTGTTCTCATTTGTGAGACAGCCTCAGGCTTTTTTAGTAAGGAAACCTTATTATGTCAACTGAAGAAACAAGATGCATCTTTACTAACAAGGATCGAGTTGAGCCTCTTTTCCCAATGAACACTTCTGTCATTATTTATGATATAGCAGAACGTCCGTTATTAATTTCAGTTGGTAGAGATGTGCGCAGGCTGCTCCAACAAACACTACGGAGCAGAACAGGCCGGGCGAAGGAGCGGCACTGGCTGCCCTCTGCCCAGCACAGGCACGCGCTGCTTCGGCCTCCCTTTCCCCTTAGCACAGACAGTCGCTGCTTCTCCTGACACCCATTTTCCCAAGGTGATGGGAGAGCGGACATGTGGGTATGTAAATCCTCTGTACAGGGTCGTCTTTATGCATGGGACACTATGATTTCCATGAAGCAGCATTGCAGCCTTTGCCCCCATAATAATCTCAGTGCTCTTGGACAAGCTCAGTGGACCTACTGCAAGACTGCAATGTGTGCCGAGACCTCCTGAAAAACGTGGGAAATGAGCCTGCAGGGCCTTCTGCAGTAATGTATTCTCTTGTATTTTTTCATGATTTCATTTACAGCTATTTAAACAGAGTATCTCATCCATCTGTATGGGGCAGAACTGAGGAACTCGATTAGTAGCAGTCGGTAGAACAACTTGCAGTACGTTAACGAGTCATCACCGAGAATTAAACCGTTCGTCCAAAGCCTGCTCAGGTGCTCTTGAGAGATTTCAGTGAAGTTTGGATCCTGTCCTAACCCTCTGTTTAGTTAAGAATTCTCTTGTCTGTCAGGAGCTTTGCTTATCATTGCAGCTTTCATACTCACAAATGGGTATTCTCACAAAGTGAGTATGACTTTGTGTGCAAAGGGGTATTTGAGTTTTAGCACTTGATGTCAGGGAGACCTGAATAGCACAGCGGGCCCAGGTTAGTCACTGGATAGCCAGCATATATTGCACAAACCTGCTTAAATGTGTAGCAAATCACTATGTGTGATTAGTTGCTAGCTTAAAAAAATAGCAGCTCTGTGTTTTTTACTTATTTCAGAGTAAAATACAAAGCAGAAGCTGTTAGGAATAAAGATAGATTTTATCATATATCTTTATCATTTTTTAAGTCACTGCAAAGCAATTTTTTACCTATAAGCAGAATGGCATTCTCCACATGAAACGAATGTTTAATATTTTGTTGATATCACTATGAATTTGAACTTTGACATGACACATATTTGCTATGCAAGTCATTGAACTTACCACTGCCCATGAAAATAAAAGCATTTGCATTTTGAAAGTGAAAAGGTTGATGAAATATAAGCTGTGAAATATAGTGAGAATCTGCTAAAAAATCTGGAAGGGCATTTGCTTTAATTTTACAGAAGATTTGCTCAGCTGAAATTGAGAAAAATGAGAAAAATGCTATTAATATGGGAGAGATATCATATACAAGAACAATTTTTTTTTCTGATGCTATCTTGGGATTCAAAATGTACTTGAAGAAAATGAACCTTTGAGAAGGGGCCATTATGTGTCGGCTGTTATCTAGATAGTGTTTTATTTGCACATTTGTTTAACTCGCACTGATGCACCCCTAATGTTAGGGCTATGGGGCTGCAAGAAAACCGTCACAGTTTTGAAATGACTTGCTAGGAAATGCTTACTCAGTGTATATTAAGTGAATAAAAAAGAATTAATCATGTGTTTCAGTCGTCCTACAGAAGCCCTGCCTGGAACCCCTCGGTAGGCAGGAGAGGCAGCGGCAGCAGCGTGCTAGGTGCCCAGGGAGCAGTCCAGCCCTGGCCCCACACACGTTCGTCAGGGAATAACTTAGCAGGTTAATTGGCCGCAGTTGCGTGTGCTTCAGTGTGCTGCAGCTGCTCCCCAAAACACACAGTTTGGGATCTGAGCTCATTTATTTGAAGCCGGTTTCATTTTGTGTGAGGTCCTCTTTCCACTCCTTTCCTGGAAAGTAATATCCTTCCGTTATCTGCCAGCAAAAGAAAGATCATTAGACTGGCTGCACAGCCTCTAGACTCCAAAGACTTACATTCATATTTGTATTTATTTTGCACATGGATATTCAATATTTGCAATCAAATAGCTCCGTTCTCCTCCAACCTTTTACCAGAGCAATACCAAGCAACTGGTCTTAATTTAGGTTTTGTCCCTGTTAAATGTGCTATAAATTCTTCATTATTTCATAAGCCTTTTCCTAGAGCATTCACAGTAATGATTAATGATAGCATTGAGGAAAAAAAATAGTAGTACAACTTAAGGAAACAAATAAGCAGGTTGTTCATATGGTATGATTTCTTAACTTGTTTCACCAATATTTAGCTTATTTAATGCTCTTCTGCCTTACTCTTTCATCTCAGTATCAACTTAGTGTCCTAAAAAATGTGTTTGTCTAGAGAAGAGCAATAGTTCTTAGGCTTATTTATTTGCCATTCTTAAAGAACAAGTTCTTTAACTTTAGTTCTTTAATTTAATTTTAGAGCCCTCACATTTAACTTTTATATTTAGTGAAAAGAGCCAGTTTATTATTTAATGGATCAGAGCAAATTCATGCAATATATATTTTATTGTTCAATATACAGAATAAATAGTAATTCAGCATTCATTTGGAAATATTGGATGAGGAGCCAATATGGCTTAACCCAGGCTGCAGCTGATTTTATCATGTGACAATTTTTGTAGAAAATATTTCTCATTCTTGCTCTATTTTCATATGCACCCTGTTCTTGTAATTTTGGAGTGATAGTGACTGACTAGAAGGATGAACCTAACAAAAGAAGAAATATTTCATTAACTGTATCTATATGAAAAAATAATGTAGTTGTTAGGATTGTGACTAAACAAAAAATCAAAATGTGAAAGTAGGCACCTAAAAATGCTATTTTTCCCCCAAGAAATTCTCAAATCATCTAGATTTTTAACTGCACATTAAGCCTGACCACGTCAGTCTAATGAGGTTTCATGAAAATGTAATGTGTCTAACCACAGAGCAGACTGGTTCTTTTTAACTCTTGTTGACCTGGGACTGAACTTGGGTTTCACAACATGAAGATGTTGTTCGAGATGAGTATCATGAGCAATCTGGGTTACCAGGGTTTTGGGATGCAAATCCACATTGGAAATACACTTTCTAGTACCTGCCATCCTGCAGCAATCACTTAAAGAAATGAAATGGACCTTGTATTCCGTGAGCACACATGGCTCATTTGTACCCCAGAAAACCATTGACAACTGCCTGCCAGCTTGGCGTGCTCTTTTGAAAAATGGTACCTGTTGGAAATGTGCAAATTTAAATCTCCTTAGTAGAGATATATATTCACTGCAACAATGAGCAAAATTAAAGAAAATAAGCTTAAATTAGTGCCTAATTAAAGTTTAACAATTTATAGCCATATCCACTCGGGGTACTGGTTGCATTACAAGGGTTTTAGTGATTGTCACAGTTGGTTTTGATTAAATGGAGCTGCACTGGCTCCATTGATTGCAAGGTGAGAACTGGCTGTGTTTCCAGGTCAGCTTTGAGAAAGGATGGGCTTCACTAGTGCTGGGACTAGAGTATTTATGGTATATACAGAATCATCTCTTGCAACTCCAGGTCCAGATGGTCTGAAATGTTGCCATATAGGGTTGGGCAAGGTATATTTTCATCCCATGAAGTGCAACTAAATAGAACAGATTTCTCTTTCATAATCCTCTTGCCCCAAAGGTAGAGGGAATGGTGAAGTTAAACAAAGGATGGGTTTTTGACCTCAAAGCAGTTGTGAGGCAGAGATCATTGACCTTATTCTTATTTGGAACCTCTTAAGAAGAAGAAAGGGATCTTTGCTGTATACCAGAATGTTTGATCATAAAGCTTTAGCAAAAGGCCAAATGTGGAGTTATAGCCCTGGTAATCCTAATTCACAAGCCTGGCCTGTCAGTCTATGGCACAGACATACAATGTCAAATGCTAATATTATGAAGTGGTTCACTCCATTGTTTTTAGGTAATTTAATTAGTGTTAAGCATTTTGTTGGTAAATACACTCTACTTTTTTGGCTTTCCTTTTAGGTCAGCAAGTTGGAAAGAGAGAAGAACCAGGAAGTTAAGCAGATCAAAGAGCACGAGCAGCACAAGAGCACAGTAGTGGTAACAGAGCTCAAAGTCAAACTCCATGAAGAAAAAATGAAGGAGCTCCAGGCTGTTCGAGAAGCCCTTCTGAGGCAGCATGAAGCTGAGCTACTTAGAGTAATAAAAATTAAAGATAACGAAATCCAGAGACTGCAGTCCCTCCTGAATGCGGTACGAGATGGGGCTCCGGACAAAGTTAAAACAGTGCTTCTCACAGAGGCAAAAGAGGAGGCCAAGAAAGGATTTGAAGTTGAGAAAATAAAAATGCAGCAAGAAATTTCAGAGCTTAAGGGGGCTAAGAAACAAGTGGAAGAAGCTTTAACTATGGTAATCCAAGCTGACAAAATTAAAGCAGCCGAGATAAGGAGTGTATATCACCTGCATCAAGAGGAAATCAGCAGAATTAAGAGAGAATGTGAAAGAGAAATTCGTAGACTGGTATGTGTTGCTATCTGCATCTTTTTCCTAATGCTTATCTTACTACAGGAGATAACCATAAGCCTAATGGTGGACCTGGATATATGCATGAGGAATGAGTTTGGGCAGCCATATTTTGGGGGATTGCTTTAAATTAGTTTGCCTTTTATTGCTTGTGGTAAAGTTTGAGGGTATTTTTTGGGAACCAGTGGAATACTCTATATAGCGGGGTTTTTTTTCTTTCTCCCCTGTCAGTGCTTGTTTAGATTGTTCATCTTTCAAATATCAGGAATAGACTTTCTGTTACTAGCTAGATTTGGGGAATTCTACAAAATATTTGTGCTTCCTGGCCCTGAGATTCACTTTCATGTTCTGTGGGATATATTTTAATAAGCTGCTTCATGCCAGTAGCATCTGAGTTTCTTGAAGACCTGCATGGGAGGCATTAGTGAAATTTTAATACCATCTAAGTTCATGCTTGTTTTCAAATTTTGGCAGAGATAAAACTGTCTTCAGGGTCTACAGAATGGACAGTAAATTAAAGGAAAAAAATGTGAAAACTTCTTGTATTGAATACAAATTGCGGATCCAAGTGTTCTTAAATGCACAGGTTTTGTTAAATGCCGTCAACTGTGTGCAAGTCGCCCTAGCCAGGGCATTCCTAGGGAAGTGGCAACCTGGGAAGGAGCTGGGAGGAATGGTGGCGCGGGAGGGCGGTGAGCCCTGCCCAAAGGGCGAGTGCCGAGGGGGAGCCCGGCCGTGCAGCTCGGCAGGCCGTCACCTGCTGGCTTATAGAGCCAGCTTTCATCTCCTGCCATTTCCCCATCTTTGCCTTTCTGTTTGAATGCAGAGCCTTTTGAGGGCACAGCTGATATGCCGGGCAGGATCCATTAACTGTTGCTGTAGTTATCAAGAATGTGGACACCAATACAGTAGCATCTGTATTCCTGGGGTGCACATTTTGGGTCTTGCATCAGTTTCTCTCTGACGTTGCCGTTGTTTGGGCTTGCCCCGCTCTCTCCTGTTGTTCAGTGCCTGTACAAAGGCATCCGTGCCGCTCGCAGGTCGTCGTCGCTTGGCTGCCGTGCCAGGGGGTGCGGCGAGCTCCGCGCCGGCTCCTCGCCGAGCCCGGGGCAGTGCCCGCCCGAGGCTGCAGCACGAGCGCTGCCGTGGTGCCCGCGCTGCCTGCCCTCCCCTTAGCCGGCCGCTCGCGAGCCCTACCTTAGCCAGTGTTTCTGCTCTCACATGTTATTTTATGTTTATCAAGACGATATTAAAATAACTTACAGCCCACTATCTGTCAATGCTATTAAAATATGCCGCAGTGTAAGTACTTCTCTTACATTACTAGATGCTTTGATTTAATAACACCAGAATGAAAGGATGGCTAATGTACATCCTAAATAAACTTACTGCATTACGTGAAAAGCCCAGGCTAATGGTCCCTAATACAGCACCTATAAAATAAGTATCTTTGCAGCTGTAAAGATTAGAGTGGTTTGATGTTATATTTCTAAACTGCCTTTGAAAATCAAACCTTAGTTTTTAATTCTTCCTTGAAAGAATCATATTATATAACTACAGTAATGAAATGACACGAATCCATCATCTTACCAGGTCCTGAGTGCTTCCTGGGGTGCTCTCAGCACTCAGCCCCACTGAGCTGCCTGTCTGGGTTTGGTGGCTGCCGGGGTTGCAGGGCCGACCCCGGGGCCACAGCACAGGATAAAAGCTGAGCTCTGCATGCAGACAGCCCCTGAAAATCAGCGTGTCCCGCCTCTGAGACAGGGTCTTGCACAAGGCACGTTCGATGGCTCTCAGCAGAGGAAGGTGCAGTGGCCACGGCGCGAGCCATGACCTCCCGGATGGATGTGCCTCGGCAGCGTGTGCCCCAGACCAGGGCAGTGTGACCTGCAGCTCGCTGGGTTGTGCTGTGTGGTGTGCTGCAGGGAGAGGGCCCGTTTACCTGCTGCTGCTGCCGCCTGTGCCACCAGCCCCTGCGGGCCCTGCTGGGATCTGTGTGATGCAGCACAAGGGGATCCACATTTTGGACACCAACCTCCTCCATCTGCCCCCAGACTGTGTAAGGGGCGGCCAGCTGGTTAGGGAGCCGAGGCGGTGGGGAGGTGGCTCTGCCCTGGCGTGGCGGGGAGTGGCGAGGAGGTGGCTGTGCCCTGGCGTGACGAGGAGGTGGCTCTGCCCTGGCGTGGCGGGGAGGTGGCTGTGCCCTGGC